ACAAACTATTTCTTTTCTTTTTTTCTTTTAATCTCACTTCACTTATAAACAATTTCCTCTGCTTCATAACCAGGTGACAAAATCTATTTGCCTGCATGCTGGGACAAAGATTACATTTCTATTCATATGTTCCTACTATCCGTGAACAATTGCAGGTGCTTTGATATTTTACTTCTGCATTTACACTTTTCCCTATTTTATTGATCTTTCTATTGAATTGTTATTATTGAATATTGTGGAGTTTGAATGCCATAACTAAGTGGCATGTTTGTGTTTTTGTTGTTTTATTAAATAAAACATGGTTGTGGATACTATGGAAGATGGTTGCTAATGCTAGCTTTGGCAGCTTCGGGTATGGAAAGGAAATAAAAAGAAAATTATGGAAATTTTTTTCTGTTTGTCTTTGAAGTTCGATTCGTACCATAAGGGGACTTGCTGTAATTGATTATCATGTGCTTGTAGTTTTGCTGATTAGTTATGTCATGTAGGATTTGGTGAAGGTTGGCAGGGTAAAACAAAATAGACAAAAAAATGGAGTCGTTGTGTTGGTTTATAGCTAAGGATTATGGAAATAGTCCAAATATTTGGAACATGTAATTCATTTGTTTTGGAACTTTGCATAAGCCACTGCCTGTATCAGGATTTTCTCACCGTCTCTTCAATTTGATCTTGTTTTGTTTCAATTGTTAAGTTTATGCAATGCTTGGTGTACTAAGATTTTTCTTTTTGGTTATGAATATATATATGGTAAAAAATTTAATGCCCTTGGAAATATAAAGTTAAAATTTGTTGAGCAATGGTAGATTTGATAAGAAAACATAACATTCCTTTCTCAGTTGGGACATGTTTAACAAAATTCTTTGTCATATGTTCTGGTCTTTTCTTTCTCATTTATGTATATGTGGATTGTGACACTTGAGCTTGTCTAATTTAGTTTGAATATGCAACATCCTTTCTTCTTCTTTGCCTCTTGATCCTTTATTAACTATGTTTTCTGGTAGTTGGCATCACTTGTGTGTTTGCTCAAGTTTGTTCTAGTTGAGCAATGGTTCTCGATATCTTGTATCAGATTTAGCTTCATAGTTAGGAGAGTTCTGTTTCCTCTGTCTCAAGGCAAAGTTCTCAGATTGCTAAACATGTGATGGACTACTGATTTGTTCATCAAAATTGATTTTACCTAACTATAGACTATAGTCATCGGAATTTGGAGTTAAAATATGGGTGAACTTGTAGACAGAAGTATAAGAAAAAAGGTGTATGAATCTTCAAGTCTTTATTTTTTAATTATTTGGGTTAAATAAGTATGTTCTTCTCAATTTTTCTTTCCCCAGACTAAACATGTGATTATATAGGTAATGCTGATTCATGACTATAATTATAGTCGTAGAGTTATTAAGTATTTTATGTTCATTTTTATATATGCCACTTTTTAAATTAATTTACTTATCTAGTTTTCATTTTTATATATGCCACTTTTTAAATTAATTTACTTATCTAGTTTTTTCTTCTTCTAGTCAGATGGATGTAGTAATGGATAAATCATGGATTGATATGCCAAGGAATACAATAGAATATCTAGATGGATTAAATAAATTCTTAGATTTTGCTTTTGAAATTCTTAAATAAATATATTGTATGTGATATTCTTTTATGGTAGTGATTTAACATGATATTCTTTTATGGTAGTGATTTCAAGACATTCACTAAGAGGAAGACAAGAAATCGAAGGCTTTCAATTATAGAGTTGGAAAAGATAGTTAGTAAAGAATTTGCTAATTGGTTTCTTCATCGAGTATGTTCAAAACTAATTTCATGTGAAAATTATAATGCACTTATGTGACTAACACAATCTCTAATTAGGTTACATATCCAGACATTACGGATGTAGTGCCAGATGAAATAAAGTATTTAGCTAGGGGCAATTTACTTAAGTGAACTTTTCTCATTGTATTCACATAGGTGAACGTGAAGAACATGACCCCTATATTGAAGCTTCACAAGCACAAATGGTGTATTATGTTGATGATGAGGTAAATAAAGGGTGGAGTGTTGTTGTCCACATGATGCCAAGAGATTTGTGTGATATGTGAGAAGTTGGGGAAGATATTATATTTGAAAGTGAGTCGTATCATGAGCAGGACTTAAGCAATTTATTTACAAATGAAACAGATACAATAACCTTGGCAAGGGATGATGTAGATGATGAAAACCAATTTCAAGGAGATGCAAAATATAATTGAATAATTAAGACAAATATCACAAACTAATTTATTTTATGGTAAGAATTAGATTTTGGTAGCTTTGTTTTTAATTTTTACTCATTAATTTAAACTTTGTTGCTACCTTTCTTGTTATATTCTAATTTCTCTTGTTAAACTCTTATTGCAATTGTTAGTTTTTACCTATTATTAATACTAGTTGTTTGCTGAATATTTCTTTTAAAGGTGAATTTCCATTCTTATTAAACAAATATTGTTGAGTGTACCTAGTCCTGTTCATGTAAACAAATATTAAACAAATATTGTTGAGTGTAACCTAATATTTCTATCGGAAATTTTCGACAGTTTTTCGAGGATATTTCCGTCGGAATTTTTTGACGGAATTTTCTGTCGGAAAATTCTGTCGGAAAAATTATTTCTGACGGATTTTTTTTTCGATGCACTTTTTTTGACGGATTGAAATCCGTCGAAAATCCGTTGGAAAACAAAAAATCCGTCGAAAATTTACCTGTTTCTGTCGGAAATCAGCATTTTTCTTGTAGTCAGAGAGAAGGGCTCTGGACTAGAAAGCTTACTTCTGAACGATTGACGTTCCAGGTTGAGCTTCGGAAAGGGAATTCCGCTTCTTGGCTATCCTGATCCAATCTTCAGGTAAGGGAAGCTAGTTCTTTGGCTGATTTTCTGATGATTGATGAGTTGTTTTGATGAAAATGAGTTTTCGGGGTTTCCGGGGTTTTGATGAAAATCTTGAGGTTTTCTTGATTTTGGTTGCATGTGGGTAAAGTTGGAATTTTTGGGTTGTTTGATGAAAATGTGATGTTTTGGGCCGATTGCATGTGTTTGGAAAGTTGATTTGGTGCAAGTTTGGAAGAGATTTTCGAAGTTTGAGGGTTGCTGCTGAGTATCACGCCGGGCGCAGTTCTTCGCGTCGGGCGCGTCACCATTAGAGGGCTCCATTGGGCAAGCCGTCGGGCACAGTGGTGTATGCGTCGGGCGAGCTTGAGGGTGTGAGCCTCTAGATGGCCCCTGCCGGGCGTGGTTGGACCGCGCTAGGCGCGATATCAGTAAGTGACATTGCTTGGGGATTTCTGGTGTGGCGCTGGGCGTGACCTTGTCTCGCTGGTCATGGAGACTCCTTGGGAGTCTCTGCCAGAGGTGGCACCGGGCGCAATTTATATTGCGCTGGGCGTGAGACTTTGGGGAAGTCTCTGCTTACCCTGCACCGAGCGAGGGTTTGCACGCCGGGTGTGTGAGACCTTCTGAGGTCTCTACCTCCTAGCGTGCCGGGCGTAATGGGAATTGCGGCGGGCGCGTTGAGTCCTGGTGCTCTCTAGATGTGCCACGCCGGGCGCGACTATGAGCGTGCCGGGCGCAGACATGATATTTGATGTTAAGTTGTTATGTATAGAAATTTTCTGATAGATATGCTGAGCTGAGCTGTAGTTGTTAAATATTGTTGTAATTACTAATTGATAATGCTGAATTATGATGTTGAGCTGTAATTGATGAATATGCCGTGTTGTTAGATGTTATTTCTGATTAAGGATGTTCAGGCTGTGCTGTGAGCTGTGTTTAGATGTTAAACTGATCTTTGTATGCTGATTTAAGCTGTAGTTGATGTATATCGTTGTGCTGTAAGTTGTTTAGCTGAGCTGTAAGCTGCTAATTGTTGTATGCTGATATTGCTGTGCTGTAAGTTGTTTAGCTGAGCTGTAAGTCGCTAATTACTGTATGCTGATATTGTTGTGCTGTAAGTTGTTTAGCTGAGCTGTAAGTCATTATTGTTGTATGCTGATATTATTGTGCTGTAAGTTGTTTAGCTGTGCTAGATGCTGATATTGTTGTGCTATGCTGAGCTGTATGCTGTTATAGCCACTATTGTGGTGTTGTTATAGCCGCTATGTCGGTGCTGTTATAGCCACTATTGTGGTGTTGTTATAGCCGCTATGTCGGTGCTGTTATAGCCACTATTGTGGTGTTGTTATAGCTGCTATGTTGGTACTGTTATAGCCACTATTGTAGTGTTGTTATAGCCGCTAAGTCGGTGCTGTTATAGCCGCTAAGTCGGTGTTGTTATTGCTTAATGATGTCAGATGTGTGCAGTTATCTACATATTAAGCTGATGTTGTTAAGCTGATTGTTGTGCTGATTGATGTGCTGATAACTGTAGCTGTTTACTATTCATATATTTATATATGTATGTTGTTTCTTTTCACTAGCTTACCGTTTGTTGTTTCCATGTGGTTTGGACTGCGATGATCATACTATGTATGGGAGCAGAGCAGGGATAGGTTGGTGGCTGATGATGAGTCTTCAGCTAGCAGGCAGAGCTGATCTTTTAGGATATTTTGTTGTTTTAGCTACTTGGTGTAGTAGCATTTGATGTATTTTTGTACACTTTAACTCTATCCAGACTTGGACCATGTATATGTATATATTCTAAATCCTATATGTATACACTTGTTCCTTTCTGTGTGGTGTTTCTAGTGTACTGTGCAGCGTATAGTGACTAGCTGGGTTATTACAACAGAAAAGTACGTAATTAAATTTGTTTATATTAAAAAAATAAGAAATGTATTTTTTTTATAATAAAGAACAAACAGAGTATATGATATATATCGATTAGAAGTTAATAATTAAGAAGAAATTATTGCTATTTATAAATAAATTGGTTTTTTAGTTATGTATAGTTTTTTGTGAGAGAAACATGAAAGCAGACAAAAAAACATGATAGATGAACTGGATCCATGAATATATAATTGATAAGTTTGTTTAATCAATGTGAAACAAACTGCAAAAGATATTGGGAATGTAGTCAACCATTCATGTGATTAGCTTATATCGAGATTCGAGAAGAACATCAGAGGTACCAAAGGCTATGGCAGAGATCACGAAACCATTTGGGACTTCTCTTTTGGTACCATCGGTTCAAGAATTAGCTAAAGAAAATACATCTAGCGTTCCACAAAGATACATTCAACCTCAACATGATAACGTTGTGATCTTCTCTGAAGCTAATAGTATCCTTGAGATCCCAATTATTGATATGCAATGCTTGCTCTCTGTGGAATCTGGTAGTTCCGAATTGACCAAGCTTCACCTTGCATGCAAGGAATGGGGATTCTTTCAGGTCTCTTTTCTCTCTTTATCCTTTAATTTCTTTTTAACATCAACACATCTTTCTGTTTGATTCTAGGCTTGAGACATTCTAGATATATATAAAAAAAAATCACTTAAAAAGACAAAACTGTATTTATTAAATCTAAATTTAATCTGAATTGATTACAAATTGATTTATAATGTGTTTGGTTTATCATGAAAAATTCTTAAACGGCTGTTGAACGTGAAAGTAACAAATTTTACTTCTCATTTTTCTGTTTTGGAATGAGAAAATTTCTGTTTACATCATTTTAAATAATAATCCAAACAAGCACTTAGTTGTTAATCTTCTTGTAGCTGATAAACCATGGTGTTAGCTCTTCCTTGGTGGAGAAAGTGAAGTTAGAGATTCAGGAGTTTTTCAAACTTCCAATGTCGGAGAAGAAATTTTTTTGGCAGAGTCCACAATATATGGAGGGTTTTGGACAAGCATTTGTTGTGAGTGATGATCAAAAGCTTGATTGGGCTGATATGTTTTATATGACTACCCTTCCAACACACTCAAGAATGCCTCATTTATTTCCACAACTACCTCTTCCATTCAGGTTCTCTATTTCCATATTTAAGTTTTAAGTTGGCTAACAAAAATATATTTGTTGTTATTAGGTTTTATAAATTAGAAATTTGTATGTATTTATTAACAAAAAAAAAACTTTATATACTCAAAAAATAACTACTATGCACTTTTTTCATTTAAAGAAAGAAAATTCTTTCAAAATATATTTTAAATTTGTGGATGACTTTACATGTTTAATCACTACATTTTGTGATGCAGAGACTCTTTAGAGCTTTACTCACAAGAAATAAAAAATCTAGCCATGGTTATTATTGCACATATGGAAAAAGCTCTTGAAGTGGAAGAAATGGAAATGATAAAGTTGTTTAAAAACTTGAGACAGGCAGTGAGGATGAACTATTACCCTCCATGTCCTGAACCAGAGAAGGTTATTGGCCTCACACCCCATTCAGATGGAGTTGGTCTCACTATCCTCCTACAAGTCAATGAAGTAGAAGGACTCCAAATAAAGAAAAATGGCATGTGGGTTCCTATCAAGCCCCTACCTAATGCCTTCATTATCAACATTGGAGAAATTCTAGAGGTAATATAATTATATAACCACCATTCATCTTACTATAATACCAACTCTTTGAATTCCACTTGCATTGTTGAAGTTGAATAAAATAACTCCAACTGAGTTTTGGCATGACATTAAATGTGAGAGCCAAACTCTTGGTTAAATAGTTGAATAGTATGCGACTAGTAAATTCAAAGGATGAGGGAAAAAGTATATATATATTTTTATATGTATATGACTACTACATTTTTTACTTTTTTTTTAAGAAACATTTACTTACATTTATTAAAATGTTACTATAAATTAAATAAATATATTATTTTGTAACATTTTTTAAAAAATGTTACTATAAATAAAATAATATTTTTTATTTTAATATTATTTTTTAATAATTATTTTCAAAATTAAAATCTCATATCGAGAAAAAAAATCACATAAAAAATACACATCTTCAATCTTTAATTATTTTTTAAAATTAAAATTTTATATCAAATAAATAAATGACAGATAAAAATATATATTTATATAGAATTATATTTAAGATAAATAAACTTTAATTTTTAATATACTGCAGGAAATTGACAATTATAAAGTATAATTGATAAAAATATTATATTAAAATTAATTATTATTTTATAAAATTAATTAAAACTTGACATTATTAAAATATTACAAAAATATCATTTTGATAACATTTAATAATATCTCGTAAAAGTAAATTAATAATATTTATAAATAATTAGATTATTTTTAAATATTACTTAAAAAAACTTTTTTTGTTGTAGTGTATTTGATATTGATATCATTTTTTTTATAAGTGAAATCCTTTTTCATATAATTTTAAATTATGGTTGCAGTAATAATTGTAGATGTAGTACTATAATCTTTAATGTTGTAGAAAATTAGAGAAATCGTAAGTGATACGATGCAATTGCAGTGAATTTAAAATTCTTTATGTTGCAGTCGCATTGTGATTATCGACAGTAATTTAAAACTCTGGATACATTTTTAATTATTATTAATTAATGAGCTATTTTACTATTTTGGAAGACAACAAAGTTGTGTCTTCTTATTTCACGAGTTATGTACAAGTTTAAATCGATATTAAAAAGTGTATTAGAAATTGTATCGTTGAGATTGTTTTTTATTTATTTATTATATTGCTGTTGGTACCGGAAAATGAATTCGGAGGCACTCGAAATACAGAGGTGCTTTAAATCCTAGGTGATCAGAAAATGGTAAAGAAGTTTCTGAGGAAGGACACGAAGACACTTTTCGTGAAACTCTCGAAATCATTGTACCAGGAAGGACACGAAGACACTTTTTGAGAAACTCTCGAAATCATTGTACCAGGAAGGACACGAAGACACTTTTTGAGAAACTCTCGAAATCATTGTACCAGGAAGGACACGAAGACACTTTTTGAGAAACTCTCGAAATCATTGTACCAGGAAGGACACGAAGACACTTTTCGAGAAACTCTCGAAATTATTGAACTAGGAAGGACGCTGCTCAAGAGAAAGGCTCACAGCCTCGCAACCTCTCAAAGTACAAGAAAAATCAGGAAACACTCGAGTAGTATATTTTTCGTTGGTTACTCGAAATCCCAAGAATCCGGACATACACGAACACACTTCGCAACCTCTCAGAATGAAGAACTTAAAGGAGACACGATTTAAGAGCGGTTGAAGTAAATCATGGGATAAGTGTCAAAGGCTGCAGAACGGTTTGGGGAAGTTAATGAGCAGTTCCAAGAGTTATCCAAAGACGTGCCCGGGAATAAGCCACGAGGTCGAGGTGGAAGTTTAGAACGGTTATGCACTTCCGGGGCACGTCAGAAACAGTTACCTTTCCCAAATCTTTGTCTATAAATTAAACGAGCCATGCTCGTAGCAGGAGGTCGAAAATCTAATTCCCACAATACCTCACATGCACTCCGCAGCCTGTGCATAAGGCATACTGTGCGTACGAGACAGCTTTGGGTACGATTTCTCGACCACCTTTCTTTTTCCTTTTTTAGGAGTAGCATAGCATAGCGTAGCATAGCATAATCTAGTCTAGTGTAGTGTAGTCATTCTAAACACGTTTCGTTACCCTTACGAATTGTAATTCTATTACCATTTAATGAAAACTCTATTTCTTACTTGTACGATTTTATTTTTTCACTGAAAGTCTTCAATTCTGTCATGTCACGAACACGCATAAATTGAAACGTGAAATCGTGCTAGTTCGAATAAAAAGGATCCATAAAACGAAATCCACCGTAAACAATTGCTATTTTCTTTATGCCAATTAACATTCACGTGACACCTTCGATTTTGTTTGCATGCATGTTTTTATATGGCAGATGATAACGAATGGGATATACCAAAGTATTGAGCACAGGGCAACAGTGAACTCAGAAATAGAAAGGCTTTCAATTGCAACATTCCATAGCCCTAAACAAGACGTTGAAGTAGGTCCCGCGGCTAGCTTAATCACAGAACAAACACCAGCAAAGTTCAAAAGAATTAGAATTGAGGAATACTTAGGGGCCTATTTTCTCGTAAACTTGATGGAAAGTCTTACTTAGATACCATAAGAATATAATAGTATTAGAGAATATAATTAGTAATTATATTCTCTAATATATAGCATCGCAATTGAAGTGATAAAATTAGCTACTATCTTTACAGCATTGTCACCATATGTCATTGCTAGATTGTAGCCAAATTTGATGCGTGCATTTATGAATAGATTGAAGACTTGTTGTCATCCACAAGGAAATAAAGGTCGAGCCAAAGTAGTCACTTTTTCTTTGCTGATTTTGTTTTATCAGTGGAAATTACATCATATATCCTTCTCTAAAAATAATGGTATTCTACTGTCTTTATATATATATATATATATATAAAAAGTACAAGGGTACTCTAATTCATAATACAAAAATTAGCTTCAAAATTTTACAAATAGAATTATGAAACTAGCAATTAATACCATATATCCAATAAATGCATTACATGTTTGGATAGTTTTTGTAGGACATTGATAACTCTCAAAACTAAATACCAAATAGCGAAATCAATGACAGTAGCATTTTATATAATAAATTATGATAGTAACAACGAGAATAAAATAGCATCAACTCTTCAATGACAATTATAAGAAACAATAATCAGCACTTATAAAGTATGACAGGAAGGACTCATATCAGTAGAAATTTAAGAAAAAAAAATAGGTTATTAGACCAAAGAGCAAATGGGTATTGAAAAGCTAAATCTTTAGCCCTTAATCAGTTTCAAGATCTCAGCTTAATTAAATCCACCATATCCTCAAAATCTATAATTTTTTAGAGAGAAAATTGCTTCATTACAAGCCAAATTGATCATAATGTTACCAACCAAATAGAAGATCATCGCACCTAGTTAACAACATTACAATTTGAGATATTTTTGCTTTGAAGTTAAAAAAATAACATGTTTAGCTATATTAAATAACCTATAGAAAGTAAATTCCTCACATTTCAAAAGAACTATATTTTCATAAGGACTCGATATTTATTTTTTAAAAAAATTACAAGAAAAGCTAATAAATATATGAAAGAGAAATATAATTTTACAAAATTAAATTTATGATTAATTTTTTTTTTACTAAAAACAATGTAAAAGTTAAACAAACCATCAAATCAATCTCAACAGCGATTTAATGGTTTAATAATTAAATCAGAGACTCGATTTATATTAAAAATAATATATAATTTAATATAAAAATAGGAATAAACTGTATGTGTATTATATATTTGTAATATGTAACATTCAATATGTGCTAAGCTTAGTGGTAAATCAACACACATGTTAACTTGAAGGTGTAAGACTCAAATTCCACCGGAAACAAAGTTTTTGTTATTAATTTCTATTATGTTAAAATTGTATATTTAACATGTTGTAACTGCTTGACTTGGTGATAAGTGTGTTGTACTGTACTTTGGGAGGATAAGGTTCGAATCCCTTGATGATAAATGTGATGTACCTTAATTTGGGAGGACATGTTTTGAGTCCTATACCATGTAACAAAATGCATGTTTTAATTTTTTTTATTATTTTAAAAATTAATTAAGTTTCTACCAGCTGATATTAATTAACAAACTGGACGGTTTGAACCGGTTTAATTCGGTTCGAATACATCTTCAATCCAAAAACCTAATTGTTTTGGTCAAGTTCTTGGTTGAAAAATCAGACAATCTGATCTAGTTTTTATAACACTAAATAGGAGTATAAATGAAAAAATAATAATACTATATTAAAAATTTAATAAAAACACTTATTTTATCCTTTAACACATGTATTTTTTTAATTATTTATTGTTTTAATTAATACCTTTATTATATAGTTGTATATTACATCTGTGAGTATTATTATTTATATTGGTATTATTATTATTAGAGGGGTTGAAACACTTCGTGTCTCTACTAATTAGATATAAATAAATATTAGAAATTATGGATAATTATTTGAAAATGATATAAATTATTATTATTTTTTTACATTTAAAAGATACAATGATCTATTAAAAAATAAAAATTAAAAAAATAATTATCAAAATATATCATTTTTATAAGTATAGATTATTCATATTTGGATGGTGCTAATTAATATGCAATTTTTTTAATAGAATTCAAAACCTTAATTTACTATGTTCGAAGAGACTAGCCTATTTTGTTAAATGATCCTCGTTAGAGATCATAAGCATGTTTTGCATTATGGTTACAAAATTCCTAATCCAATGCATATATAATTAATTTTAGTATTTAAGAGATTCTTTAGGAACTATAATCCTTTATTATTGAGCGTGAAACTCTATTATAACCATTTTAATAGATTCAATATACTCTACTAATTCAGTTCAATATAATAAAATAAACAATTGAAAGATTTCGTTTTCATTAAAATTGTTCGTATGAAAATTAATCTCTAGAAAAATTAATCATAGGTTCTTCTTTCCATGAAAACAATAGAACCCTATTTTCATTGAAGAGATAAAATAAAATAAAAACAGTTTTTTTTTATTATTATTTTTTTTATCAAAACTTGAATCAATCATCTTAACAACTGCCACATGTAAAAGATACTGATGATGTGTACCAAAACTCAAATTTTTTAATTTTTTTTTACCAAATATTACCATGAAATTCTAGAACAAATACCTTTTAATATCACTATACTTTTCATTTTTCAACCTCAAATTTTGCCGCATTTTTTATGAATATTTTCAATCTGACATTATTTAGTATTATCACAAGGATGTGCTTCTTCAAGTCAATTTAAATGCCAAAAAAAAAAAAAAAAAACAAACACCATCTAAAATTACATAAAAAAATATTTTGTCCTTTCTCCACATAATACGTTCACATTTTAGAAGTAGCAACTAGCTTCTTAAGGTCTCAATAGATCAACTAACAAAATAAACTTCAACAAAGAGTAGTTTCACCTTTGCAGTCATATATTGAACTAGACACATCATTAACATAGACTGATTTTAGGTCATCAATATCTTTCTCTTCTACTAATTTTTAACTTCAATTATGATGCTCTATTCTCAAGGCATCTCTGTAAGACTTTCCTTCAAGTTTACGTGCGATAAAATTCTTGAAGTAGTCCTTTGTTTGAATTCTTTTGAATTTGGTGGTGTTTGTTTAGTGATCAAGCTTGGCCAAGGACCTATCACACCATCATGTCTTGGGCTATAGAATGTTGCAATCGATCGAAACTCTTTCCTTCTCAGAGTTCACTGTTGCTCAATGTTCAATACTTCGGTATATACCATTGCTAATAATCTGTCATGTAAAACATACCAAAAAAAAAAAGTAAATGTCATTAAGATAGAGCACATAGAAAAAGAAAAATATTTTTGAGAATATATAAATAAAAAACTATTTTATCCTTATGACTTTAAATTTACTTATAATATCTTTTACATGATATATTAAACTTAGTGACCAAAGTTTATTTCAAATAATATTTTTTTTTGTTCTACCACGTGTATACTCCACTCTATTGGACCAAGCACAAATCATTATCGTGGTATTGTTATTGTTGGCATGATTGATGGAGTTAAACTATGAATAGGATAAAGTTAAATATGTTGAGAAGTCTCACATTTAGGTGCCGGATATATATCTGTTAGACATTCACTAAATGTCAATTGATTTTAATTGAAACTTAACATAATATAAAAGTCTAGAATTTATATTCTTGATTTGCCTATTCTAATATAAGAAGTATCACTTGGTTTAGCAGCATCTGTGAACGGAGGTGTTGAGAAGTTACACATCGTCCATCTCAATTTTTTAAATATAATTTATTATGTATTAAAAAACTTCAATACCAATTAATTTTAAGATAAAATTTAACAAAAACATGTTGAATAATAGATAAGTATATCAACTGAAATCTTTGAATTATGATATGGTGTAAATTTCAGGTGTGTAATTCGTGCCAATCCATCAAGTTAGTTCTCACATTGTTTACTTATAATTAAATGTATTTATATAAATTAATGATCTTAGTTGTACAATTTTTAAAATCTATTTATCTCCAAAAAAAAAAAACCACCATGAATAATATTTACCTCCAAGATGTCTCCAACATTAACAACAAAAGCATGAGGCAAGGGCGTCACAGGGACCCACATGCCATCTTTCCC